CTCGGCCCCTGCCGTGCTCACCCCATCACACGACATGCATCCTCTCACATGCTCACCCTTGCACCAACATGCACATTCACACACAAGCCCCCCACACACTCATTCTCACCTGCTCAACCCCCACCAACATCCGACATTCGCAATCACACACACACACACACACACACCTGGGCACGTACACCTTCCCACCTGGTTCCCCAACAACTGGCGCTTACAGTCACACATGCACACCTGCACACACACGCCCTGCCACACTCCCCATTGTGTCTCAGGCCTCACACACGTGTGCCCCCAGGAGTCACAATCGCACAGGGAGCGGTGCACCCTGCCACACTCCACTTTCCAGACTCCCTCACCCACCATTCTTCACCATCGCTCACCCCCCCCACCTGGATCCCGGGGAGTTGTAATCACACACATATACCCCCGCACACTCTCATCCCCACACTCCCCCAACTACTTCTGGGGTTTACACAAGTGCCTTCTCAGTCAACATTCAACCACACTTGTTCAACATCTTACACAACCCCAGCTCCTTCACCCAGACCCCCATCCACACTCACACGCACACTCACACTCTCCCCACAGAGTCGAGGGCCCACTGACTTTCCAAGGGCCTGATGAAATTTCGAGAACAGAAAGAAAACAAATAGGGTGAAGAAAGGAAGAGCGAGGGAAGTTGAAAATCCAGACATAATTAAAGAGCCTCTCAATGTAATACCTTATAAACTAACCTCCTGCCACTAAAGTAAACTTTTAAGTAGTTACATCTGTGGAGTGGGGGTGGCTTTTAATGACTGCTATGAATAAAGATGGAGCCACCAAGTATCTGTGTCTGGGGCCCTGTGTGAAGGAAGGAGAGCCCAAACCAAGAAGTGTGACTTATCTCATGTCCCGATGAAGTTCCTCAGGAAAAGAAGCATGTCGTTAGGAGTTGCTGCTTTGCACCTTTGAAGGGAAGGGAGCATCCTTTGGCTAACAGACCTGGCCGGCTCTGCTCTCCGCCTTGTCTCTTACATCTAGACGGTGCTCGGCACATCGCACGGCACACAATCTGCACTCAGTACATGTTTGTTGAGCGGAGGAAATGGTAACCCCCCCAATTATGGCATCAGAGTAGGCCCCACCCTCTACCACCTGTCCCCTCTTAAACCCCACCCACCTCAGATCAGCCGCCAAGCCCAGCCCCTCTTCTCCACTACCACGCAGGGGAACGGAAAAGCCCAAGGGGATGGGGACCCTTTAACCCGGGGTCCCCCACACAGCTGGGGGTCGATGACCATGAGTTATTGTTTTTATCGAGCATCTAAAACATACATGGAGTTCCACACTTAATCCTCCCAACAGCCTTGCCCGCTAAGTCTAAATAATCATACCCATTTTACAGGTGAGGAACTAGAAGCTCAGAGTGGCCTGCACAAGGCCACATGGAGCCCTAAGCTGGGCTCCAGGGCAGGTCTTTCATGTTCAAGAAGGCTGGAAAAATGGCCTCTTGTGACCAATTGAATCAGTTATCATGACACTCCAGGCACCTATTAATAACTCCCGAATATCTTCAAGCTCCCTGTAGCCCTTGTGGAGCCCACCTGTGGCTCCCCTCATCGGACCGTGCCTTCATTTTCTAAAATATAGAGTAATAATCGCCGCTTCCTCGCCTGGGATCCTAGCTCACCTCCACCTCCCGGCTGTAAAACCTGAGACGACTTACAAACTGCTGGGCCTCAGTTTCCTCAACTGTAGAATGGATCCACTGGATGGTTGGAAGGATTAGATGAGTTAATCATACATACATTAAAGCAATTAAAAGAGTGCCTTCACAAAAGGTCTGGAAGGGTCATCATTACAGGGTCGTAGAAGAATTCAGTGCGGTAATGAGAACATGTAAACTTTGCTCGGTGTAACGTATGCCGAGCGGTAAACACTCGTTAAGTTAAGCTATTGCAATTCCTTCTCCTCCTCTTCCTATTAGTATTTTACCCAAATGAAAAGAATGAACACCGCCGTGTCGTCCAATGGTTGTCTCTGGATAAAAAATTTCTAGGATGATTTTAAAAATTTAATAGACTATTTTTTTGTTTTTTGTTTTTTTTTTTAATTGAAGAAATTATTTTAATTAATTCTTCCCCATCTACCTCCTCCCACCCCGCTCCCCTCTGGTAACCACTAGTCTATTGTCCATGTCCATGAGTCTGTTTGTCTGTCTTGTTCATTTGTTGCTTTTAGGTTTAGATCCCACATATAAGTGATAGCACGTGCTTTTCAACTTTTTATGTCTGGCTTATTTCGTTTAGTACGTTGTTGCAAAGGGCAGTATTTCATCTCTTCTTATAGCCGAGTCATATTCCATTGTATGTATGTACCACAGCTTCTTTAGCCAATCAACTTAGATTGTTTCCATGTCCTGGCCACTGTGAATAATGTTGCTATGAACATCGGTGTGCAAATATCTTTTCGGATACGAGTTTTCAAGTCTTTGGGGTAAATACCCAGTAGAACTAGAATTTTGCAAGCATGAATTTAAGAAGAAACACAGAGCAAT